TGACTCGGAATCTCCCCTCTTGACCTTCCTGAGTTTGACCACCAGGAGACGCCCCATCCCAGCTCAGAGTGTCCCCTTCGCCTCTTCTTTCCAACTGGACACAACCCCTCCCAGGTAAGCCCTCGCCTCCAACACAGGCCTGTGGACACACACATAGGGCGCACCCCAGCTTTGTCCTGCATTTATTGACATGGTCAGGCTGCAGAATTCATGCAGGTGGCAGGGTAGGTGGCTCCTGCCGCTGAACTGAAGGGGGAGAAGGCGTTCAGGGATTTGAGGAGGCAGACCCAGGGCTTCCCTCCCCCTTCAGTGCCCCACCCTCACCCCGCCACCTGCCACCTGCCACCGCTGCTGGCTAGGGCAGGGTCAGCCAGGGGAGGGGCTGTGGGCAGTTGGCTGGCTGCCCCCACCCCCCTGGTTGAACTCCAGTTCCAGGGAACAATTTGCATATTAGGCTTTTATTATATTGATGGGAGTGTGAACCCTTTTGGAAATTCTACTTTGCATGTGGGTGAGAGTCGAGGGAGGGGTACCCACCCCCACCCTCTCTGTGCCCTTCATGGCTCTGGTGAGCACCCCCACATCAGCTGCCTCCTGCGTGCTCCCTACTGGGGAGGAGCCTGAAGCCCAGCAACCTCTTGGTTCATGGGTTGACGCTCAAGTGCTAAGCCACACCCACCAGGCTCGGTTCATTTGTGTGTGTGTGTATGTGTGTGTGTGTGTGTGTGTGTGTATGCATGCTCCGTGTCTGGACAGCTCCAAGGACTGGGGTCCACAGTTGAGCCCCTGTTGACCAGGAAGTTCCCCTGACCCTGAGCCCACCTCACCCCTCCCCCAGCTCCTCTCCTGGACCCCAAGGCTACTGAGGGGCACACCATGTGGGGCTCCTGGTGCCCCACTCGGACTCCTAGTCACACCAGGTCCCCTGCACCATCCCAGGCCCGCACAGCACCTCAGCAGGCAGGAGCTGGAAGGAGTGAGTCCAGTAAGGGGCACTGCTGGTCACACGTGGCCCAGATGTTGGCAGGGAAGGGTCGCGCCCCCTAAGGTGTGAGGAGGGGCCCAGGAATACCCTCACCCCCTCCCGGACTGGGAGACCAGTCCCCACTGACACCCAGAGGCGTGGTTCTCACCCAGGAGAGTTCACCCTGGGGGGTGGGGGGAAGGGTGTTGGCATCCCGGACAGTTTTAGCATCTAGGACTCTGCTCAGCACCTTACAGCGCCCAGGCCAGGCCCCTCCCCCTCCACAAAGAAGGGCCAGGCCCCATGGTCACCAGGGCCAGGCTCAGAACCCCCAGACCCTGAGCCTGGGCACCGGGCCCATGTCACCCACCCGTGGAACGTGGTGAGCTCCTCTCTCGGGACCTGAGACCTGCTGTCCTGGGCCCAGAGACACCGGACTAAGGTTGTAGGGTCGCTGGCCGGGCTCCCAGCCTGAGGGACCAGGGAAAAGGCCACAAAGACTGCAGTCCTGGAGGGGAGGCTGAGGGGAGGAGTGGGCCAAGGGGGGGGGAGGGGCACCGCGACCCCCTTCTCCAGGCGGGGTGGGGTGGGGGGCTCCGGGGAGGAGAGCTTTGGGGGCAGCCCCCAGCCGGCGGTGGAGGGAGACAGCCGGCCCCAGCCAGCCGGCCCAGTGCTGCTGCGGGGGGATCAGGTTGCAGGGGTGCCGGGCGGGGCCTGGGTGGGGAGCGGAGGCGCCTCGGGTTGGCTGGGGCAGGGGCGGGCCCTCGCTGGAGGTGACGTCGGAGCGCCCGAGGCCGGGTCCCCACCCCCACCTGCCACCGCCCCAGGTTACAGTGTGGGGCCTGCCGTGCAGCCAGAGGTTTGGGTGCTTGCACGCTACCCCCCCGCCAGGGCAGGGCCGCCGCTGGACTGCTCGCTCAGCTAAGAAACCGTAAAACCTGCTGTAGGCGGGAGCCCACTGCCCTCTGGCTCCCTCCGACGGAGGAGCAGCTGATGCCCGTGTGGGTCCACCCTGGGCTGCCCAGTCCATAGAGTTAGGGCTTCTGTTCCCTTGGAGAGACCTGGGAAGTGAGGGGTGCCCTCCCCCGCCTTGCCTAGGGACCCAGCGCCTCTGTCCCAGGCACAGCCAGATGGTGGCCTGCTCTGCCCAGCTCAGTCCGCACCTGCCTTTTGGGGCCCCTCCCCACTGCTGGGGACCCCAACACGGGGGCTGAGGCAGAGCTGGAAGCTCGGGTCCATCTCACGGTGAGGAAGCAGAGGAGGGGGAGGGGAGCTGCCCCAGATCAGGGTGAGAAAGAGCCAGGTCTCGAGGGAGCCTGCCCAGTGCTTCCCCTCCATCCACATCCCACCCACTCGGGAACTGGCCTGTGGGGGCCGCAGAGGACAGGGAAGATGACAGCAACCCGTCTGGCAGGAAACCCAGGGCAGCCAGCTCCGATGCCCTGCCGTGGCCCTGGCTTTTGGGAGTGACCTTGAGGGGCCAGAGCACTATGACCTCAGGGTGCAGCACTTCGATTGGGCAGATGCGGATACGGAGGGTCCCCAGAGCCTGAGCGAGGACGAGAGCCACAGGGCAGCAGCCAGCTGACCCCTGCAGAGCTGCCTGGCGTCACAAAGACGGCAGGTCCCGGCCCCCACCGCTCCTGGGAGTGCTGCTGTCCCCTCCTCCATCGCCCACACCCCGCACCCCGCACCCCGCACCCCACAGCCGGCTCTTCAGCAGCCCCACGGCCCTGCAGCCTCCTCTCAAGGAAACAGAGGTCAGAGGCGCCGGAGCCCAAGGAGGATGAGGTCAGACCATTACCGGCGGCACAGATGCTCAATAATTCATGGGCTGCTGGGAGCCAGCGCTGCAGCTTCCGGCGGGCCCGGTGCAGACGGCAGACAGGAAACCTGCTGGCCACCGGCACTCGGGGGACCCAGCACATCCTGTCCCCGGGGCTGGACTAAGTGATCCGGCTTGGGGAGAGGGGGCTGGGGGCTGATGGACCCTTACTAGCGGCGTGACCACAGGCCAGGCACTTAACCCATCAGCTTCGGGCTCTCCTACGGGCTGGAAGGTCCCTGAATGAGTGTGGGAGCCCCGTGTCTGACCAGACCAGACTCTGGGAGCGGCACTCGGCAGGCCCTCCTGGCCCAGGGGAGGTAGCCCCTGACCCCAGGATGCCTTCCCGGGAGCAGTGCCTCACCCCATCCCCAGCACCCCAGGCCGAGGCAGGACTAAGATAAAGTCCCCCCACATTCTTGTGCCCCATCCCTACATCTCCAGGCCTTGTGTGGGTGAGGGGACACCAGTCTGGGACCAGGCCGGTTTGGAAGACCTGGTTTCCCGCTTAGAATAAATTCCCAACCAAGTTGCTTGGAATCAAACATCCCTTCTTGGTCTAAGAGGCAAGCAGGAAGTTAAAAATTATATATTGTTCAGCTGAAGCCGGTTTGGCTCAGTGGATAGAGCCGTGGCCTGCAGACTGAAGGGTCCTGGGTTTGATCCCAGTCAAGGGCATGTATCTTGGTTGGGGGCACATCCCCAGTGGGGGGGGGGGTGGTGGTGGTGGTGCAGGAGGCAGCTGATCGATGATTCTCTCTCATCGATGTTTCTAGCTCTCTGTCCCCCTCTTCCTCTCTATAAAAAAAAATCAATAAAACATATTAAAAAAAAAGACCCACGTTAGTTTTTAAAAAAATAAATAAATACATAAATAGTTCAGAAAACCCAGCACAGTTTTTTTTTTTTTTTAATATTTTTATTGATTTTGTAAAGAGAGGAAGGGAGATAGAGAGTTAGAAACATCGATGAGAGAGAAACATCGATCAGCTGCCTCTTGCACACCCCCTATTGGGGATGTGCCTGCAACTAAGGTACATGCCCTTGACCGGAATCGAACCCAGGACCCTTCAGTCCCCAAGCCGATGCTCTATCCATTGAGCCAAACTGATCTCGGCAAGCACAGTTCTTAATGAACACACAGAGATTGCTGGGAGCAATGCCTCACACACCGAGAGGAATAAGGTCTTTAATTCCGAGCAGGCACGAGGCCCACAGGACTCTGCGTGGAGCTGGAGTTGGGCAGCGGCTGAGAGGTCTCCCGGGTGCCACCGTGGCGGCTGGGGCCTGTGCCGCGTCCTTCCTGCCCGGCTGGTGTGCGATGCCGCTGGCCCGCTGCCCCATCTTCTCCGCTGGCCGGGGGCGTGCCGGAGTCCGGGCAGGCTGCACCCCTCCCGCGCCTCCCCCAGGCTTCCGGGGACTCGGACCGGGAACAAACCCGCATTCACTGCGGCTGCCGCCCTGGCCGCCTGGCGCGGCCGAGGGCTCACGAGATACCATCACCTCAGAAAGCAGGACCGTCCCTTTGTTCGCTGCAAAGGATCCTGGGGCCACTAACCTAGATCGGGAGCCGCCTGAGGTACCGGGCTCCCCCCGCTCTTCCCTCACAGGGAGACTATACTCCATTCATGGAACCAACAGCCCCGTACAATGGATGGTAACGGTGGTGGGGATGGGGGGTGTTATCACATGTGGGGGACAGCTCTCCTCTCATCTACTGGGCCCGCTCCCCCCATGCCTCTCTGGAGAGACTCGGGGGACAAGGCACAGGTGCAGGCAGGAGGGGGCGGCACTGGAGCTGCGGGCCTGACTGCTCTGGTCCTCCCCCACACGGCCCCAGAGTGATGCTGGGGTGAGACCTGCACATGGGGCACACCTGCGGGGGGCACACTGGGGAGCCCCCTCTTGGACCAGCCTGCTGCTGGTACCAGGGAGCAGGACAAGGCCAGGGAGACCGTGCTACCGAGGCCCCCACAAATCTGGAGCCATGCGTCTTGTCCTTGGTGCCAGCCTCACGCAGGCCCCGCCAAGGTCCCCACTCCCCGGGTGGCGTCAGGACCCTCTGGCATCCTGGGTGAGGAGTGCAGCACCGGCACACGGAGGTGCCCGGGGTGAGGTAATGGCAGGAAATGGCAGTGTCCAGCCCCAGATGCCGCTTATCCGAGGGGCCTCCCCGTCCTGCAGGTCTGTCCTAGACCCCGTCCGCTGGTCCCCGAGAATGCAGCCCCAGCCCTGCCTGTGTCTCCACGGCGCCCGGTCCATCGAAGGTGAGGGAGGAGGGTGCAGAGGGGAGCGGAGTGAAGCGCCGCCCGTGGCGGCTCAGGTCCAGGGCCCTCAGGCCACGGAGGTGCAGCTGTCCGGGCCTCCAAGCCCTGCCTTCCTCCTCGCAGCCTTCCATGGTCCCTTGGTGACGGCCCCGTGAGAAAGGCCGGGGGCAGCGCCTGCCAGGTGTGCCTCCAAAGACTCCCGGAGCCCCGCCTCGATCCACCGGGTGCAGGACACGCTGGACACCAGGGACACGGCCAGGGAGGTCACCGTGTGCAGACTGGGCACGTGAGGGGGGCCCTGCAGCCACCGCCTGAGGACACGGGCTGTGCCGTGGGGGAGGGTGTCGCCAGGGGGATGGAGGCAGGCTGGTCTGCAGGCAGCTCCTGTGGCCTCTGTCACTTGGGGGCCAGGAGAGGCTGGCAGGGCAGGTAGGGGTGGCCCTCGAGCCCAGCCCTAAGCCTCGGGTTTCACAGGGCCTCCGTCCCCCTTCCCCCACCCCCCCACCCCCACCCCCACACTCGGTCCACTGCTCCCAATCGGAGGCCTCCGGGCCCTCCCAGCTCCGGGGACAAGGGTGGGGAAGGTGCAGGGCCCTGCCAGCGGGACAGAGGCCTGAGGACAGGGTACGGCGTGCAGTCCAGGCCACAGGCGGCTACCATCTCGGTTTACTTTGCGGGGACTGAGCCTGAAGTAACCAGAAAGAACAAGTCAAAGGGACCCCACTGCTCAGGGCCCGAGTGCTGGTTTTTACTAAAAAAAGCGTTGGGAGTCCCCGGGGGCGGGCTGGTGCAGGCTGACACAGGGGAGGCTGGGGCCAAGGTCCGTTCCTCTCTTCCGGCCACCTTTCCCTCCCTCCCTCCCTCCCCTCCCAGCAGGACATTTTTTCCTACAACCGGTGTCAGAAAATAGCTTCTGGCTCGATGGGGAGGGACATTCCCAGGCCTGGGAGGCGGGCTTGGCAGGCCCGTGACCCGAGTCCAAGGGTCAGAACACTGCTGCTTGTCTGTGCCCGGCCTCTGGCCGCTGGCTGTCCCAGGGCCGCTGGACGCCAGGGTCCGGAGACAGCCTGCCTGGTCCTGGGGAGGCTGTGCAGGGGGAGGCTGTGCAGGCTCTCTGGGTCAGTAGGGAGCAGGAGAGCTAACCCCTAACTTTCTCCTACAGCCCCGTTGAACTTAAAAAGGCAACAGTTGCCGAAACTGGTTTGGCTCAGTGGATAGAGCATGAGCCTGCAGACTGAAAGATCCCAGGTTCGATTCCGGTCAAGGACATGTACCAGTAAGGGGTGTACAGGAGGCAGCTGATTGATGATTCTCTCTCATGGATGTTTCTAACTCTCTATCCCTCTCTCTTCCTTTCTGTAAAAAATCAATAAAATATATATTTTTTAAAAAGGTAACAGTTCTGGGATCTGGACTCTGGAAAGGAGAATGGCCTGCCCACCTTTGGGGGCAGCCTCGGGGGTGCTGGGGAGCCGGTGAGGAGGGCTTTACCATTGAGGCCTGAATACTTCCTGCCCAGGAGTGAGATCAACCAGAACTCGGCCCCACCCTCTCCGCCGCCTCTGTGAACCCACCCGGCCTAGGGGCCTAAGAGCACCGAGTGGAGTGAGGCCCCACCTGGACCCCGACCCCACTGGGCGGCTTAGGGTGTCCGCTACAGACCGTGGTAGCTGTCAGTGAGCTGGGTTTGGAGGGAGGAGGAGGGAGGAGGGAGGAGGAGGGAGAAGCCGCCAGTGGGCCCAGCGGCAGCGGTTCATGGGGACCCGGAGCAGGGCCAGACACGGCATTCCCGGAGGAAGCGTTACCAAAGCAGAAAGAACGTGTTTATTAGGCACCTTGTCCCTCACGGAGGAGCAAGGCCCGGGGCAGCGCCTGTGACGTCTCTCCAGGCTGCAGGGATCTCTGCAGACTCCGGAGGACGCAGGTGCTGCATGGCCACCCCCCAGAAGAACACTATTTGGCCGGAGCGTGACCCCTGGAGGGGACCCTGGCATGCAGCCGGGGGTGGCCCTGACTCCACAAACACTGAGGAGTGGGCGGGGCCCCTGGGCGCCACGGAGCCCTGGCCGCCTGGCAGGGCCTCGCAGCGGAGGCACCAGCTGCCCGGAGCCATCGAGGGGCACGGGGAGCGGGAGGGCATCGGCCGGCCGCCTCCTGGCGCCAGATCAGTCCCACACGTAGGGGTTTCTAAAGACCTGAGAGTTCTTGTCGTCTTTCGGGGCCGTGGCCGCCTGGTGGCTCTGAGCGGCGTACACGTCCTCGGCCCGCAGGGTGGAGTTGGCACTGCCCATCGCCTGGCTGTTGGCGGTGGCCCGGGGGAGGATGACATCATAGGGTCCCTCGGCCTGGAAGGGAGAGCGGGTGGTCTCACAAACACGCGGCTTCCTGCGGGTGGGGCCTGCCAGCTCCCCTTCCCCCACCCCAGCCAGGCCCCCGCGGCGGCCAGCCCCTGAGCTCACCCTCCGCTCGGCTGCCCCTTCGGAAGGAGCCTCTCCCCACGCCGGGCGGCTGTCACCTGTCCGGCGCTCCCAGCCTCCCTTCCTCCAAGACTCTTACCCGCGTCCCCCCCAATTGGCCCTCCAACCCCCACCAGCATGATGGTGGCTGGTGTGCCAGGCCCTGGCTGTGCCCACAGAGTTCTCCTCCAGAAGTCTGGGCTGGCCTGCCTGACGGGAGGCTCAAATCCCAAACGCTTTTGGGTGTGGGTAGTGCACGTGTTGGAGACCTCAGACCCAAATCAGCTGCTGGAACCGGGTTCAAGCTGCAGCGGTCCCGCCCGTGTGTGGGTGAGACACGGTGGAGGGTCCTGAGCAGCCCAGCTCCCTGCGGCTCCAGGGCCCCGAGCTGCCCACCTGGTGGTCTCCAGCTCCCCATCCCCCAGTAGCTCCTGAGACATCTCCGTGGGCGTTCTCAAACCCGGGTCCGAATCACCTGGGCTGTTTGTGTAAACCTCACCCACACCTGGTGGGGGGCGGGGAGGGAGGGAGGAAGCCCTGATGAGCAGGGTTTGCAGATTTCTACAGGTGCTTACTCCCATCATGCACCAGGGTGACGTCACCGAGGAGATGCTGACCGTGGGATTCATCGCAGCCCCAGCTGCACCCAATTTGCATTTTGAGGAAGACCCCAGGTGCTGGTGATGCCCAAGGCCTGCGGGCCACACAGCATCACCTGCCAGCCCAGCGTCCGCCCCCTCGGCAGGGAGGGCGGCAAGCGTGGGCGCCCTGCGGCCCAGCAGGCTCTGCCCATGTTCGGAAACTCCTTTGCCCATCGCGGCTCCCGGGGGCTGCAGGGCCGGGCTTAGGGAGACCGAGGGGCCCGGCCGGGACTTTCAGAGCGAGCTTCGCCCAGGCTCCTGGTGGGAGGGGTGAGAACGCCCCCCTGCTGACCTCCCTCCTTCCGGTTCCCAGCCTCCTGCCAGGGCGGGTCGCTGACCTCTCCCGCTGCGCCTGCCAGCCGGGAGCAGGAACACGCATGGGGCGAGTGAGCCTGACCCGCCGCCTTCCTGTTCCCACCCCCTCCCCGGCTCAGGGAGCATCTGTTCCAGAACCCAGGGGAGGCGAGGCTGGGAGCCGCTGCCTGCCTGCCTGCCTGCCTGCCGGCGGGGGAGGGGGGAGGAGGCAGCTGTGGTGGGATGTAAACACCTACCCAGACTGGGTCCCCAAGAGTGACCCCCGGCTGGCCCAGGCCCTCCTCGGTCCCTCCCAAAGCTTCTGAGGGGGAAGCTGGCGGCTCCCGCCAGCTCAGAGAGCCCCGCAGCCCCCGATACCTCGGGCCGGGCAGGTCCCATCGCAGTGAAATTGAGGTGGTGGGTGCACTGACTCCAGGAAAAGGCACCAGGAGCCGGGGCTCTGAGTTCTCCCAAGGCTCGGAGTGGAGACACCTGCCTCCCCCCCCCCCCCGCTGCACCTCCCCCTGCACCTCCCCCCGCACCGCACGGCCCTCCGCCCGCCCCGAGCCCGGGCTCCACTTTCCGCAGAGTCCCGGGGACTCGGGGGCCCACTCACCGGGCCTTTGTGCATCAGGGCCATCTCGGTGGGCTGGTACACGCTGGTCAGCAGCTGCCCGTTGTACCCGCTGTACGGCGACACTGGTCTCTTGGCTGCAAGGAAATAGAGGTTTGAAGGCTTGGCTCCCAGCGCCCTTTCCCAACCGAGAGCAAGGCCCTGGGGGCGGGGAGAGGAGCCAGGCTTCCCCGGGTAACCTCTAACCCAGGAGGGCGCCTGGCCGGGGCTGGCCAGCTTGGGGGTGAGGCTGTAGGTGTGGGGGCCCCTCCAGAACCCAACACCCCTTTGTTCGGACCCCCTCCACTTCCGAGTTGGTTCAGAAAACAGCTCCTGTCATCACATCGCCATCTGCCTCCAGGGCAGAGGCCACGAGGGCACACGGGCCTCCGGCGGCCTTCCGAGATGGCCAGCCTCCAGCTGGGGCCTCGGCTGCAGCCGGCCAGCTGCCAGGCCCCGGGGTGAACACAGCACAGGCCCTGCAGCCCCAGACTCCGGAGCTGGGAACCGACTCCCTGCGACCCACGGCCCAGAGCCCCCCGGGGGGACCGCACACACATCCTGTCCCTCGGCCCCTGGGCCCGGCTCCAGGACTATTTTCAGCGGCAGGAACACTTCCCCGGCCTCCCGCCAGGAGCTGGCTTCCCGACCGACCGGCCTCACCGTCAGGTGGCTCAGGGAACCTGCCGGCCAGCCAGCCAGGCCCGGGACGGGCTGGGCCTGGAGGCCGGCCCCGCGGGGGTCGGTCTGTCTGTCTGTCTGTCTGCCGCAGGCCGATGGCCCACAGCTCAGAGGGACCATAGCCCAGAGCTAAGTGCCCGGCTCACGCGATGATTGATTTTTCTATTTGGAGGAAAAAATAAATAAACGAAGGGAAAGAAATCTTGAGAGGACAAAGGCTGAGAGCATTAGGCCCCAACAAGTACACGGCTGAGGCAGTGCATGTGCGAGGTGCATGCCTAGAACATGTGGAGAGACACAGGCCTGACACACAGCAGGTGCTCCATACAGGCCGGGGTCCTCCCCGTGTGCAAACGCCGGAGAGGACTCCTCGCGGGAGCCGGGAGCGCCTCTGGCCAGGTCTCCCCGGAACGGCCCTCCCGCTCCTGCTTCCCAAGTGGCTCCCGGGGCGGGGACCACGGGTTCCGAAGCTTCGCTCCCCTCCCGCCTCTCCCACCGCCGGGCACCGGACTCCTGGAGCTGGGCCCTGCCAGGAGAGCCTGTCCCATTAGCAGAGCCTGGGCCCTAACCAATTTGACCTTCGGACTGGAGGGTCCCAGGTTCGATTCCAGTCAAGGGCTTGGTTGTGGGCTCATCCCCAGTAGGAGGTGTGCAGGAGGCAGCTGATCGATGTTTCTCTCTCATCGATGTTTCTGATTCTCTATCCCTCTCCCTTCCTCTCTGTAAAAAAAAGCAATAAAATATATTCTTTAAAAATGGAACTATGGGAGTTGAAGGCAGAGCACCACGGATAAGCCTGAGGGACCCGGCTCAGCCCGGCGCCCCCTCCTGCAGTAAGCAACGCGGAAGGAAAAGGGCCGCCAGGCGGGGCCCCGGACCTACCGGAGGCCGGCTCGTCCATGGAGAAGGCCTTGTTCTCCACAAACATGCTCTGGCCCTTCTGCTCCTTCAGGATGGTCTCGTAGCCCACGCCCCTGGTGGGGTACAGGTCGCCCGGGTAGCTCTGCTCGGGGCTGGCCTTGGTCACCAGGGACACCTCGGGGATGGCGTAGAAGAGGACGAAGGCCCAGGCGTTGGCGGCCAGCGCGATGGCCAGCGTGGGGTCGTCCCAGGCGGGCCGGTTGCGCTGCCGGTTGCCGTAGGTGTACATGACGATCCACACCACCCAGATGGCGATGGAGGTGGCGGCCGTGAGCAGCACGAAGGCGGCGTGCCTGCGCCAGCGCGCGAAGCGGCCGCACAGGGCGGGCCAGGCGCCCGCGAAGGCGGCCAGCAGCAGCAGCATCACGTAGATGAGCGCCATGACGAAGTCCATGTTGGCGATGTCACAGGGGGACGCGGCCGCCCCGCCCGCGCTGCCGTTGCCCGGGCGGCCGGCCTCGCCCGCCGCCCGCACCAGCGTGAGGATGAGCCACTCGGTGTTGATGATCACCTCCACCAGCGTGAGCAGCAGCGCCACGGCGAACAGCGCCCAGCCCCGCGGCCCGCGGTTCCTGCGGGCCAGGAAGTTGAGGGCCAGCACGTGGGCCACCAGGCAGGAGAAGCAGATGGCGAACAGCACGCCGAAGAGGAAGCGCCGGGCGGCGCAGGTGGCGAAGTCGGGCTTCACCACGCAGGCGAACACCAGGCAGAAGAGGCCCAGGGTGCCCAGCAGGAAGAACACCTGGGTGCCCAGCAGGCCGCGCTTCTTGGCGTCCTGCACGAAGGGCAGGCTGGCCACCAGCACGATGGTGAGGACGAAGGTGGTGACCACGCCCGCCCCGGCCACGGCCTCCAGGACGATGCCCCAGGCGCCGTCGCGGTCACACAGGTTGTAGTAGAGCGGGTTGAGGTCCGGGCTGCAGCCGGGCGGGGCTCGGTTCTGGGCCTGCGCCCCCGGGAACAGGAAGAGCAGCAGCCCCAGGCAGGTCAGCGAGGCGCTGCGGACGGCCATCCTGGCTCCCAGGCCGGGCTCCCGCGGGGTCCCTGAAGACGGAGGGGGAAAAGGCACAGTCAGTCCTCCCCAGAGTCAGCCGCCTACATGAGTGCTGTTTCCCAGAGCTTGAACCCGGGCACAGCACACGTTGATCAGGAGAGAGTCCTCCCTGGGCTTCAGAATCCTTCTTTTAAAAAAAATATATATATATTTTATTGATTTTTTTACAGAAAGGAAGAGAGAGGGATAGAGTTAGAAACATCGATGAGAGAGAAACATCGATCAGCTGCCTCTTGCACACCCCCTGCTGGGGATGTGCCCGCAACCAAGGTGGATGTCCTTGACCGGAATCGAACCCGGGACCTTTCAGTCCGCAGGCCAACGCTCTATCCACTGAGCCAAACCGGTTTCGGCCAGAATCCTCAACGCAGAACTCCTGGAAGGCATGGCCACTGACCAGAGAGGCAAACGAGATGAAGCCCGTCTGTCATTCCCACTCAGGGAAGAGGGGGGAATTGTCATTGCATTTTCAGGTCCTACCCCCATCCTGTGGATCTACATATTCCCTGGGTTCTTGCAGCTGGGGGATGACGGGGGGGGGGGGGGGTAGGAAGGAGGAAGGGGTTTATAAGCAAGTGCAAACCAAGCATGCCACCCATTCGGCACTTCCTCTCTTGCTCTGGGACTCCTAGCGTTCGGCAGGCCAGACACCATGCCCCTGAAGTCTGTCTATGGGACGCCGGAGCCCATGGGGAATCAGCCCTAAGCTCACCGAGTCCGTTGTTCATTCATTCAACAAGCATTTTACAAGCCCCGGTGACAGGCATACCTTGCCGCCAGAAAAAGGGAAGAGAAAAAAAAAAAAGATCAAAGAGCATTGAAAAGTTGTCTTTATCAGCACTTCCCCCTGATCCCTTCCCTCCCTCCCACTTCCCTTTTCTGCCCTTCACTCTCCCACTCTGAGTGCCAAAGCCTCGCTTCAGAATCCAGTTCTTTGTGCAGCTCAAGTGTGTAAGCGGCAGGATAAAGCGATTCCCCAGCCAGGGAGTTAATGACTGAATGCGAAGCTTCTCCTGAGAGGCGCTAACGTGTTAAAAGCAAGAGCCAGGCAAGGGCCGTGCAACACCCAAAGGAACGAGTCTATCATGGAAAACTAAAGCACTGCAGCTGAAAGCAGGAAAAAAATGTCTTTTATTCACACCAGGAAGTGAACTCTTATCATCCCAGCCACTGGTTCGGCCATTCCGGGCCGCGGCTTTCCCAGGCCCCGGCTCTCAATGGCAACCCGGTTTTCCCTGGATGAAGTGGGAGAGCAGAATGTGGAGGTTAAGAGAAAGTCAAGACCAAATCAATGCGTTTCCCCATCACAGGCTTTACCTGTACTTGGAGAACATTAGATGTAAGCGCCCTGAGACGTAAGTTACAAATGGCGGAATTCTATGAAACGCAGAGCTCCGCATTGAAAGGAATTCTGTGTGCCAATACCGGAGACAACCCTGCCTCCTCCTCGAACCCCAGGAGCCCAGGAACCCTCCAGAAAGACAGCAACCGAGCTTGCCTGGGCTGACAGTGACCACTAGTGGCTGCAGGGGGATGGCACAATCCAATTCTCCTCCCCACCACCTTCTCTTCTCATTTTTTTTGGGGGGGGGAGGGGAGAGGAAAAGAGAGGGGGGAGGGTTACACCTTACATTTTCACCATTCCTGGTTCCTTAATTTCTAAAAAAAAAAAAAAAAACAAATCCTAAATCTCTGTCGATATAAATTGTCTCTCCAAAATTAACTGGAAGGACAAAAGAAAACTCATAAACCGAGTGAAACGGACATAATCAAGATATCATCCATTTCCAACAACAACCGTTAGGATATCCTACGTGCCCCTTAAAGATATTTCAGGCACCTCTGCCTTCTCAGCTACCTCCTCATTGTTCAATTAAGCTTGCCTTTCCCATGAACTCTCTTTTAATTGCACTCATAATAAATTAACATTGTGTGAATTTTTCTATCGTGTTTTTTCCCCCCCCTAAATAACTTGGCACTTACTTCTCCTGGCTTCCAATGTAAAAGCAGGTTTCTCCTATGTCGTGACTTAAATAATCTTTTGCCGGAAACTGTGTGTAATCGCAGATAAAGCACACACTGCCGAAACCGGTTTGGCTCAGTGGATAGAACGTCGGTCTGAGGACTGAAAGGTCCCAGGTTCGATTCTGGTCAAGGGCATGTACATTGGTTGCGGACACATCCCTGGTAGGGGGTGTGCAGGAGGCAGCTGGTCAATGTTTTTAACTCTCTATCCCTCTCCCTTCCTCTCTGTAAAAAAAATCAATATATTTAAAAAAAAAAAAAAGAAAGAAAGAAAAGAAAGCACACACTGTGTTTACAAGCGAGGGAACAGGAGGGAGGCAGGAAGGGCTGAGGAGTGAGGAGAAATGCTGAACTCCAGGGGCTTCGTCACGGTGACATGCTCCACTACAGGGTCCTAAGCTCTCGGCCCCACCCCGGGCATCCCTGACTCACAGCAAGGCAGCCTGAACGTGGGGTACAGTGGGGAGAGGTGGAACCGCACCCTGAGAATGGCCGCCCAGACTTAGCCTCCCGGCACCTGCACACCTTCAAGGGCTTCTCCTGCTTCCCACCCGCCTCTTCCCGTCCGGGTTTAGGACAGTCAGTGACTCCAGGCTGCAAACACGGACCACACACCGAGGGGACAAGGCCCGGTTGTTCTAGGCCAGTGGTCGGCAAACTCATTAGTCAACAGAGCCAAATATCAACAGTACAACGACTGAAATTTCTTTTGAGAGCCGAAAACCGGCTTCCGCACAAAGGCCACGAAGTTTCATTTGCAATGTACGTGCGCGCCTGCACGGGGTATTTTGTGGAAGAGCCACACTCCAGGGACAAAGAGCCACGTGTGGCTCAGGAGCCGCAGTTTGCAGACCACGGTTCTAGGGACTTTGGGAAGTGCAAAGAGGAGCAAACACAGTCCCCAACTTGGTCTTTAAAGATCTGATAGGAGACAGCATTTGAGATCAGTGTGGATCAAATAAACTCATAAAAATATTTTAAAAATCTAACAAGAGAAGACAGATCTACCAGAGAATTCCACAGGGAAGAATAAGGTAGGTGCCACACAAAGGATGTCACCTCTGGGGGAGAGAAAGGCACAGGAACATGGAGAAGGAAGCTCTTCCAGGCCTGGGGTCAGAAAAGGCTGAAAGGAGGCCTCCCACCAAGCCCGCCACACTGAGCTAAGCTGCGCGCGGAAGTCCCAGGAGAAATGCCTCAGGGAAGGGGCCTGGAGCATCATTCTAACGCAGGCGGGAGCCGCTGAGGGCCGTTTGGCTGCAGGATGGAGGCGTAACCTGGGTTGTGCTTTAAGCGTTGAGCCTGGCACACAGCACAGACCATCGATTTGCTGAGGGCACATTCGTCCGGTTGAAAGATCGAGACCCAAGGTGAGCCGGAAAGGGCAGATCCGAGAGAGCCTTTCCAAAATAAAACCTAAGGCCTGGGAGGTGGGAGGAGGGATGCTGAGCCTGTGCTACACGTTCAGGCCTGACAACCGCCACATCCGTATACCACCACCACCCCGAGTCTCATCTAGCCCTGGGACCCTGACAGGCCACTCCTCTCCACCCATCCGGCTCTTAGCTCCATTCTGCCTGCGCCCGGGGCCAGGCCTTACCCTGCAAGTCTGGCCCCCGAGGACCCACCAGCAGGGGAATTTCCAGGGAAGGAAACAGCAATGGCCCCTCCTCCCCCATCCACCGAACAGGCTGCCTTGAAACTTACCAACCCCAGAGGGAACACATCTTCCCGCCCCATGGGTCTCATTTCTCCTGCTCCCTGGCCAACGGGAGGGCGAGTGTAAGGTGACCAGACGTCCCGCTTTTGGCGGGACAGTCCCGATTTTTAACCATTTCGTCTGGTCACCTTAGGCAACTGGGGAGACAAGAATGCACTGACTCGGGTGGGGAATGGGGGGTGGGGGGAGCAGGTGGACCGGGCTGCTGTCCACTGCCCAGGATGGTGACCCCTGCCAGCCAGCAGGAGCCTTGGTGAGGGTGACTCAGAAGAGTCTGACTTCCAGATTCGGCCAGTCAGCGGGCGCCCCCCTTAAGATGGTGAAGGGGGAACGGACCCAGCTCTGCCTGGAGATGCTCCCTCCCACGGGTCCCTCCAGCCTGCTCTGCGAGGCTGCCTCCTGAGACCTGCGGGTTAGGATCGTGTGTGCACACGTCTCCCCTCCCAGGCTCCAAGGTCTGAGGGTAGCGAGCAAGACCCAAACGCCAGGCCCTTGAAAATCACTCACTCACGGGAGGGACTCTGCCCACTTCCCTCCCAGCCCCGCCTCCTTCCTCTCCGGGTCTCACCTTCTGCTTGGAGGGTCTCGGTGAGACCCAGGAGCTGACCCTCCCTCTGCCTCCCGAGCTCGGGGCCCAGCCTCAGATTCTTCTCTGGGCCAGAGGGCCCTTTTGCTCCCTGAGCTCCCTGCAGTCAGCCGTACAAACAAATACCTTAATCACCTCTGAAACCAGCCGCTCCCCAGCGCAGCCACTCCGCCCAACCCGGTTCCAGAATCCCCTTCTGCCCGCGTTCCCTCCTGGGGAGCAGGGAGGCCCCCGGAGGACCAGAGGGTTCGGGCCCAGCCAGCCCCAACTGGCTCCGTCCTGCAGGGATACTGCGCTTCCCACCCACTTTTCCAAGCAACCAACTTCCTCCCCTTCGCCCTCCATTCACGTAAAGGCCCCGAGAGCCACCCCCAAAAGAGCACCCCAGGCTTCACACCCCTCGCCCCATCCGTCTCCCAGGCTCAGGAGGACACAGGGATACAGTCCTCAGCCAGGTTTCCTCCCCAGAGGGCCGGGACCCTCAGGGCGCCCTCCCAGAGGCACCCAGGCTCCCCAGGAGTGCCCGGGGCATCCTCCCTCCTCCCCTAGCCTGCCGCCCTCAGCAGCCGTCAGCAGAGATGGATGGACCCACTGACAGCCCTCCCGCCTCCGCCCCTTCTCCCCCCACCCTCCTTCCTCCCCAACGCCTGTGCGGAGCCACCTCAGCGTCCAGGTGTGTGAGTGAGTCGGGGGGGAGGATTTGGGGGGATTTCCTGGAACCCCTGCCCAGACCTCCACACGGGTGCGCCTTTGGGCCAAAATTCCAGCGCCTTCTGAAACTTGGAAGTCCCCAATCCAAAGGTCCGTTCTGGAAATGTCAGTGGAATGTGCCCCACCCCCAACAGCACTCCCACCCACCACCCCACCCCACCCCACCCCACCCCCAGCCCCAGACACACACTAAGGCTCGAGGGGGTGGGGTGGCCCCAGGAGCAAACGCCCCGCTTTGGGGCCAGCACTGTGGGCCTTTCCGGGGTGTAAAGCGGCCGGCCTGGGGGTGGGGGGCGCTGCTCGGCCCCGGAGGCTGGGAAGGGCCCTGGGAAAGCCATGGAGGGTGGGGGGAGGGACGGGATCTGGAAGCCACGCCGCCAGGAGTGAGGCTCTTGGGTCCTCTGAAACCCCAAACTTGGCGCAGCAGGACTGAGTGCTCCCCTCTTCACCCCCTCACCTCCCCACTAACTCATGGGGTCCCAGCTACGCTCCCCTGAACCTTGGAGCAGAGGCGCAGGGCCCCCGGGCTCTCCCCGTTCCTCCGGCCTCTGAGCCCTGCCCTCCCGGCGCCGCCGCGGGCAGGGCGCCCGCCCACGGGCCGCCGCGGGCTGGAGACTCGCAGGGGGAGCGGGGCTGGAGGGGGGCCCCTGGAGATCCTGACTGTGCGGCCCTCCCCGCCGCCTCCCGCTCGGAGCCGCCGCCCACAGAACCCGAGCGGGTTTGGAAAGTTTCTGCGCCCCAGCGGGTCCTCCGCGCCCCCGTCCGCTCCCCGCGGGCCACACCGGCTCCCCCGGGCGCCCGGGGCGGGCAGGGCGGGGGCGGCAGCGCTTACCTGGGACGCGCCGCCCGCCCGGCTCCGGCGCGGGGTTTGGGGCCAACTCCGGCCCCGGGCCCGGCGCGGGCGGAGTGGGAGGGACGCGGGCCGGGCGCGGGGCCAGGCCCAGCCCTGGCGGAGCGGCCCGGGCCGGGGCGGGCGCTCGGGGCTCGGGGCCTGCCTCTCCCCGGACCGGGGCTGTGCTGGCCGAGCCCGCTCGCTCGCTCGCTCTCACGCCGGCCTCTCCGCGGGCTCGGCTCCTTCCTCCCGGCGAGGGCGGGCCGGCGCCCGCGTTACCGTGACATCACCTCCACTCGGCGCTTACTGGGGAGCGCGGCCAGGTAGGTGCCATCGGTGCGCCCGGTAACAGCCCGCCCAGCCTCCCCGCGCTCACTCCCCCGGCTCACCTCCGGGCTCCGGCGAGGCGCACTTCCCGGCCGGAGGGAGGGAGGCGGGAGGGAGGGCGCCGGAGCTGCTGGCGGGGCCGCCGGGGGTTGTTGCTGCTACCGCCACGCCCCCCGCCCGCGGGCGCGCGCACTCCCGCGCACCCGGCTCCTGGGCTCGGCGCTGTCTCTCCGGAGAGCGGTTTGGGGTGCAGCCCGGCGCACCTCGCGAGCTGGCTCTCCCTCCCCGCAAACACGTCCTGCCGCCGCCCCGGAGCGCCTCTCAGCGATGGACACCTCGCCTTGGTCACCTTCCTCCCGGGTCCTCCCGAGAGACCCTCGCCAGACCCGGCTCCCCGCTCCGGGCCGCGGCGAGCCGCGCACTGAGACACACAGTGCTTCTTTGTCACGCCTCCGGCGCCCCCTCCCCTCCCCTCCAGGGGCGTGCACACGCGGACGCACCGCCCCGAGGGTCCGCCTCCTGCGAACTCGGTTCTTCCCCTACACCTGGCCACCGAGTGCGCGTGGGGACACCCCTGCGCGCCCCCAATGCGGGGAGTGTTGGGGGGCGGGGGTTGGTGAGCCTAGAACCACTCGGGACCGTGAGCAAACTTTGCCCCAGCCAGCCCGCGCCCGGGTCTCCAGGGACCGGCCCGGACCCGGGCCATCTCGGAGCGCGCGCTCCTCGCCCCGCTGCCCCGCTCCCCGCGCCGACCTGTCCCGATTAGCCTTCAGCTTCTGTTGCCCCAGGGGCGGCGTGTAACCTGGCCCCGGAGGACTCCAGTCCTGCCCTTCCCACCGCCCGCGGACTTTTCCACGAGTTCGCGTGCCCTGGGCCCTCTCCACGCCCCACCTCCGCCCCCGGCTCCCGGGCGGATCAGCGGGCGGCCGCCTCTCCCCTCCAGGAACCCGCAGAAAGGGAACCGCAGAATTGAGGAAGAGAGTCCGGGCTAGGGCCTCCCCGGCCCGGTAAACAAGAGATTTTCCGTCGCCCGCCTTCCCCCGAGGCTGCGGCTCCGCGCGGGGCGGGCGGAGTGTCCCGGGCGCCCGGCGGGGCCCAGGGAGCGCGCGGGGGGCCCGGGGGGCTGCGGCGCCCCGGGGAGGGGGAGGGGGAGGGGGCTGGGCCTGGCCGGGGCCCCGGGGACACGGAGGGCCGGAGGGCAGGGCGCCGGGTCTCCGGGTGCTGGGTCTCGTGACGCCAGTTGCCTGGGGGATCGCCCGGGGCGTGTTTGCTCTGCCCGGAGCGCCCGGGGAGGGAGGGGAGGAAGGGGGGGAGACGGGCGCCGAGGGGAGGAGGGGTGGCAGCTGGTCTCGGCTAGGGGTGGCCAGGTGGGGGAGGGGAACCTGCCAGGCTGTTTGTTTGCGAGCCTCAATCTATGACAACCAGGAGCCTAACTCCGTGAATCACCCCGCACGGCCCGGGCGATAAGCCTCCTCCGGCCGCGCCTCCCCCTCGCGCGCGCCCCGCCGACCAGCTTCGGGGAGGGAGGGTGTGCTGGGCGGCGGGGGCTGGCGGCGGCGCCCCGGTTCCCCAGAGCCCTGTCCCCCTTCCCGCGCCTTGTTCGCGCAGGCTGGGCTGGGAGAGGAGGGGATTCTTTCCGCTCTTTGAAATATGAAGCGGGAGAGCGCGATTCCGTGCCTTAATTTCACCCCCACCCCCCAGGGGGCCCACTATGAACCCGGGAGCAGCCGGTCTGACGGAGGAGCCACTCTGGCCCAGGACGGCAGCCTCTGCAACTGGGCTACTGACGCCCAAATCAGTTTGCTGGGAGGGGTCGCCCATTAGCATAGGCGACCAGCCAGTTCAGAGGCGGGAAGGGTGTGGGGGAGGGAGATGGGGAGATGGGGAGAGGTCTGAGATCTCAGGGAGACACGGATGGATTGTGGTTCCCTCTCAATGTGCTCTCGGCTTTGGGAAGGTCCCACTTCACCCTACAGAGACCTCTCCCAAAAAGCAAGTCGCCCGACACTCCAGGCCCAGGCAGGGGGAAGGCTGGGGTGCTGGGTGCCTGGCCACACGCTGGGAGTCACCCGGACAGAGGCCTGGCCCTGGGCGCTGAGCTGTCCACATCCGCCTGGGCCGCGCTGGGGACCGCGGTGGAAATTAGGACAGTTTTCTGAGAACTGTGCCTGTTTCCTTGTCTCGGCCTCACTCTGGAACAGGATCTGCCTCCAACACAAAGCACAGCTCTCAGGGCAGATGGCCTGGGCCCCTGGTGCCCTGGTGCCCTGTGCTGGGAGCGGTGGGGAACCTCACCCTCCCGCCCCGCCCCTGTGAGTCAGAGGCCGTGGGTGCTGCTGGCCACTGGGGGCCTGGAGTGGATGTGTGGGAGGTGCGCTTGCTTTCTAAGGCTCCAGCTCTAGGGTCATCTTCACCCCCAAATGCCCTTCACCCAGTAACAACCATGGGCACATAGAAGCTTTACAAACCCCCATTTTCACTAAAAAGAACACTTTGAAGAGTGGTCCCATAGGGCTCCTGCCCACTCCCTGTTCAGCGGGTCCCGGATGAATGAACTGGAGAGGGGTGTCAGACTCCCCCCTGCCCTAACATGGTGCTGGAGTTCCCGTGGGCCCATTGAAACTACCCGTTCCTGGGGCCTGGAGCAGTAAGGTACGGACCAGGCCCAGGGTTCAAGAGCAGCTCTGCCAGCTGCCAGCTGTGGGACCTGGGCAAGTTACTGCATCTTTGAGCTCCAATTTCCTCTGCCGGAAAACTGGCCTGCCAGCACCTCCTCATCTTGCTGTGAAATCACATGGAGCTGTGTCTAGAATGTTCCTCCCCCAGCCAGCCGGGCACTGACAGATGCTCCGAGGTCAGCCTCTCTGTCCGTGGTCCGCCCCTCCAAGCCTTAGTCCTGTCAGTGTTGGAGGCTGCTTCCCCAGCATTCTTCCGGTCCCGTGTGACTAATACCGGGATAGCCGGCCATCATGCTCTGGGCCTTTGCCTGTGCTGCTCCTTCTGCCGCCAACATCCTGGCCCTCCCACCCCCCAAAATTTCTTGGGCCCAGATTTTTAAAACATGTCCTGTCTCCAGGCTCAGCCTTGGGGCCCTCGTCTGCGAAGCTGCCTTCGTCTTCCCCCAAAAAACCCATGTGGCTGCCCTGTTGCCCAGGGCCTGTTAAGCATTTGTTTATTGATCATTGATCCTAGTGTATCTCCATTATTATTAATTATTATTATTATTGATTTGAGAGAGAGAGGAAGGGTGAGGGAGAGAGAGAGAGAGAGAGAGAGAGAAACATCGATGTGAGAAAGAAACACCATCTGTTGCCTCCTCTATCTCCTGCCCAGGTCCCAACCCGGGATCGAACCCGAAGCCTGGGCGTGCCCTGAGCCAGAACCAAACTCCCAAACCTCCCAAGACAATACCCAACCAACTGAGCCTCAGCGCCCGGGCATCCCAGTGTATCTTCATCAGCCTTCTGAATGATTGGCTCCCCGTCAGACCGCGCCCCGCTCAAGAGCAGGGACGTGCCTCCCATTTGTGCTTGGCATCTGGCCCAGAGCCTGGCGCGAGGCAGACGCATCGCTCTATGGCCCAAACAATGGCAGCAAGAGGTGCGACAGCCCCCCTCCCCCCCGCGGACCTCCCCCTCACACCAGGGGCCTTGCACACAGCACAGCGCCTGCCTGCACCGGCCCTGCCCTGCCCAGCGGTCCCAGGCCTTCCTGGGCCGCAGACAAGCCCCGGTGCCCGGTGCTGGAGAGGCCGGCCTCCGGGCGCCCGCCGAGCCCTGCGCTCAGTCCAGAGTCGGGGCCTTGCTGGGCGCCCCGCTGGAGCCCGCCTGGAGCGCAGTTGGCTCCCTCGAGGGACTTCCCTTTTGCCTGGGTGGCAGGCGCCCTGGAGTGCGGTTCCAGCTGGCAGACCTTCCGGGAGCCATTCCCTCCCCCGGGGAGCAGGAGGCCGCCTTCCCAGGGGTGGCCGCATGCTGGGCCCAGTGGAGTGAAAATAGTTCCCTGCTGAGCGGGGGGCGGGGCTTGGCTCCCTGACCTGTAGGTGCCTGGAGCTCTGTGTGGTAAACAGTTTGCATCTGCCCTTTGCTTGCCCTGGCGGTGCTGGGATTAACCGGTTACTGCCCAGGCTGCAGGGTCTGGCCGTGCGTCCCTTCTCCGGGCTCACGGCACTGCCTCGTCGGAGCGGCAGGTGCCGCCTGGTGTTGGGAGAGGACCCAGGCACCCCGGTGGCCCCTGAAGGGGCAGGAAGCCAGGGGCAGGGGCCAGGTGAGTGAAACACGCACTCGCACAGCTGGCTGCCCATGGCTGAGCCGCTGGAAATGTACCCGGAAGTGGGCCTGCGGTGGAGCCTGCTGGAATGTCACCTGATGCCGAGCCCATCCCCCCTCGCCCCCGCCCCTCCATGGCTCAGTGGCCGCTGACCAGCCTCCTGTGGAGAAGAGGCTGGGCCTCCGGGGCTGCCCGCCTCCCCCACCAGCGGAGAGAGTCTAGGAACCAGGGTCAGAACTGAGGGTCCAGGATGTGGGCCTCTCAACTCCCTCATTCCTTCCCCTCCCAAAACCTGGCAGCAGTGCTGCATGCAGGTCCCCCTGCCTTCTGGTACAGCGTTACCCCAGATCTGAGAACATTGCAGGGGCGGGTTTGCCTTCTACCTCACCTCCAATCCCCCTGCAAACCCCCATGCATTGTGGGACGTTTCTGACCTGCCTCTGCTCTCTGCTCACAACCTCGTCCCGGGCTCCCACGGCCTGTAAGTGAGGAGGCCACACTCCCTGGCCCGGCATTCACAGCTCTGTGACCCGCACTCCCCCTGGGCTCCGGCCGCATCTCCCTCCTCTTCCCCACAGGAAGCGCCCCTGCACCCCCCTCCCCCGGGTCAGCCCGGGGTCAGGCCTCCGCACTGGCCTTCCTGTGGCCTCACTCACTCCTGTCGCC